TTGTTGTAATAATATTTCAAATTGAATTTTTTTTCTGTTTAAAATATGTGTATGTTGAAAGAAAATTTGTATGGTTCCAAATTTTTCCTTCAGAACTGAAATTCTGTTGAAGACATTCTACCAGTTACCTTCCAGGTTGATTAATTTAGAATTAATTTAGAAGACACTACATACAATACACATTCAAGATAATCGACTTCTTTAAGAAAAATAAAAAATGTCTAGAAAATGTGTTATCATCTATTATAATACTAGCTACCACTCTGCAAGTAATGTCATACAGTGTAAAACTTTCTCCAGAATACATTACTGTCGATGTTGGTACTGATGCAGTTACATTTACCTGTACAATAAAATTGGGGTTATTTGAAATAATTAGTGAAAATACAATGATAATATGGTGAAAAGACAATGACATGGTATTACTGTAGGTAATTCTTCAAAGTACAGTGTTAATGGAGTATCATCTTCAGAGAATAACTACACGCAAAGTTTACAAGTTAATGACATTGAAGAAACTGACCATGGCATACAATATACACATGCACTTTACTTTTCCCTTCATATCCACCTGACAATATAAAACTGTCTACACTTATTATAAGGAACCTTATTCCTCAACCTATCTGCTCAACCACTTCAGGTGAACCTGGACGACAGATAGTCTGTACAAGTTCACCAAGTGATCCTCAAATAACCTTGACCTGGATTGATAATACTGGTGGTGTTTTGACATCCCAATCTCAGTTAACAGTTAATGAAATGTTATCATTGTCATGCACAATTTCCATTGAATCAAGCAACCAGTGGTTCACATGTAGAGCCACCAGTGCAAGATCAACAGATGCAAAAGAATGTGTCATTGGCTATCAGACTTCAAATGACAACAAGAAAAAGAAAACAAGCAAAAGAAAATGTCCTCTCTTCTAAGCAGAACAATAATACAGTTATTGCTATATTGTCCATCATTGGAGCTGTAGGTATATTGGTCAGTGTGGCATTATCATGTTACATATTTACCAATAGAAGACAAAATGAAAATGGAAATCAACTGGACGAAGATGGGTACATGGATTTACCTGCACACAATCCAAATTATTATCAAGAACTCAATAGGCCTATATAACATTTAATAAGATTTATGATTCAAGATTTAATTTGTTTAAATTTACTTTATTGTTAGAGTTCTTATATGTTAGAAAAGTATATACATTAGAGATACGGCTTAAATTCCCCCACTATATAATTTTTGGTTTTGCTTTTAATGTCTTCAGATTAAATTATTGAAAAATCTTTAGGTATAGTAATTTTGCATATGAAGCTGCTTTTATTCTGTATAGTTAAGTATAGTTATATAGTGGTTTTAGCCTTCGCAGCTATTTCGATTTTTCCTTAACAAAAAATAAATATCTACATATAATTATTTTTCAGTTTTACTAATATAGTACATAATACAATCAGCATTGAAAATATGCAGTGTATCTTCATTTGTAATAAAATAAAAAAGACTATAAAATATACTATCATTTGTCAGTGATGAACACACTTTTAAATATATCTGATAAACTTTTTAACCAACAAATAAAAAAAAAATAATAATTTTAAAAACAAAAAGTGATTGAAAATCATAATCTTTCAGTCATAGACCATCAAGTCATAACAGGAGCAAATCCAGGTCTTTGTTTAATGGGTACTGCTATAGTGGAATTATATGATTAAGGTGGAATTCACTTTTCAATCCAGAAAACAAGTTTTTACATGGAAATGCACCTCTTCTTAGAATAAATTTCTTCAAATTTTAGAATTTTCTTTCTGCATTTGGATTTTAAAAACGATGATGATAACAAGGATGATAGGAGAAGCATGACTTAAGTAATCCTAGCAAAGCCATTTTAGACCTGGGCCATAGACTGCTTACTAGAGCACTGTAGTCATCATTCAAGTGTGAAATACCTACAGAATGACTAGTTTTGATGTTGCGGTAGACAAATTTGAGTAGATTTCCACAATGAATCTCAATTACCAGTACCTCCAGATACATACAAGTAATTCATAATAGAGATAGAAATCTATGGCTGGGTGATAGGGGATACCCAGGGGCCCAAAAAAAAGAAATCAGCAGTTCTGCCGACTATAAGGAACTATAAACAAAAATAGGTCACTACTGTTTATCAATTAAATGTAAGTTTATGGGAACTCAGAACACACTAAATGTACTTTAGCTTTACACATAATTCAAATTTGAATACAAAATACACCTCATGTCTCATGAGTGGATTTCTCGCAGGATTAAAAATCGTAACAGTACTTGGTTTGGTCTGCAAGAGTCTGTGCTTCGAATTAGAGTGCAAATGTGATCACTACTATTTAGAGTATATTGTGATTAGAATGTTGTAACCTGTACAAGTCAGATCCTACATAATAAAAGAACACTGTTATCGTTACTTTTTGCTTTTTTAAAGTTAATCATTAATATATTACTGAAGACTAAATTAGACTAAATTACTCTGGTTCCTATTGAACAATACAATCGGGAGAATGTGAATTAATGACTAAAGTACTTCCCTACAAAAATTACACCATGTTTCAATATTTTTCTCCGACATTCTGGCAATGAATTGTTGCAGAGTGCCTGACATTGTCCTTTTGGTCATGAGCTGCTATGGTTGCAAGAATGTTGTGGACAGACAAGAGTAGCTGGTACCGATTTACCAGGTAGCTCAGACATGAAGAGACGCTTAGGGAAGAAGAAAGTTACTGTAGAAGCTAGTCCACAGCATTTTGAGACTCCGCTATAAAGTACTATTTAACTGAACTATGTTACATTACATTAAAATGTGCATCTAGTGGTTTTGATCTACGGTGCAGATTCGCTTGTGTCCTTGGGCAAGGCACTTTAATTACATTGCTTCAGTCTCAATGGGTACCAGCAAAACTGCTGGGGAGTAACGTGCGACGGACTAGTGTCCCGTCCAGGGGGAGTACAACTCTCATCCGCTTCACACTACGGAAACTGGGGATAAGATCCAGCACCCCAAGTGGCTTGGAAAGGATTTAGTATGTTACATTACAATGTGCATCTAGTGGTTTTGACCTGTAACGTACAGTGTAAATAAAAGGTTTTGGGTACATTCTTTTACTTCATGATCAGATTTCTACATTACATTAATATTTGTATATTACAGCTGTCTCTTATACACATCTAGATGTGTATAAGAGACAGTAGACCATCAAGTCATAACAGGAGCAAATCCAGGTCTTTGTTTAATGGGTACTGCTATAGTGGAATTATATGATTAGGGTGGAATTCACTTTTCAATCCAGAAAACAAGTTTTGGAATGTAGAGGACCAAGAATACAAAGGCCCCATTGTTCAGGGCACACATACTGTGTAATAAAAAAATTCTAACCATGTTTGCTGCTTTTACTAAATAAACTGATAAACTTAAATGATAATACACATTTTATTATCATTCATCTACAAAACTAAATCAGGAAATAAAAATTACTCTTTTAATTCCCCTCTGAAGTGTAACATGTGCAAGGTGCAGCAGAACTTTCACAAAAATTGTGGTACTGTATGTATAAATTAGTTGGTTAATTTTAATATCTGTGTACTGTTATATATTCCCTACTAAAAATTTGACCCTGTATATAACAAAATTCTGCTATGACCAACAGCCATATTACGCGCGTCCTATAAGAAGGAAATTACTAATTTATACCAGAATTAGCAGAAATTACTATTGGTTTCATGTTTTTAAGAAATTCAATTTAATCTAAAATCACTACACAAAATATAGCTTTAATACTTGGACAGGAAAACACAATTGGTAAAATACCAACCAGGTAGGGTTGGTACTTGGATTTTCCCTTCAGAGAGCAAAGCTGTCCAACAAATTGGTCTCATAGTTTCCAACCAGTACCAGCAGGATCAAGGGGTTTTCTTTATTTCATACTGGCACAACAAAAATATGTGATTATTGGTTTTTCCTGCACTAGCGGAAAAGCAATGTTATTTTTCTGATTTTTTCTTTTTCTTTCTTTCTTCTTGTTTTCCTATCTTTTTGCACAGAGTTTTTTCTGTTGGGTAACTTGTCACTTTCCATGCTTGGATATTTTACAAACTTTGTCTAAGCAAAGACCATGATGAAATTTGTGGATAAAACAATATGCATGTTTCTACATATTTTGAATATTAACAAATAGATACTTTAACTTTTATGTTTAATAATTTATGTTTTTTTAAGCATTCAAACTAGCTGCTCAAAATTACAGTGAAATACATGAACAATATTCTCCCTCAAACTGTGGAATTTTGTAGGTAGATGAAACTAAATATGCACTGAGGGATTGATATCTATATTGCAATTTTATACTGCACATCATACCATTGCAGACCTAGTTTGAGTCTTAGCAATGATGTTGAGTTGCCTTTTTCATAATTATCTTCATTATTAATTCATTTTCGTTTTTAATGAATTTTACTTTATAACTTTTTAATGATAATTGTTTTAAAAATTCTACATGAAATTTTTTACTGTAAGTTAACCTTTTTAAATATACAAGTAATTCCAATATGGTCTAAAAATTTTGAATTTTTTTTATCTCTCTGTCTCTCTTTTTGAATTTTTTTTATCTTAAGGAACAGATCATAAAATATTTATAATTTACAGAATGTTTACTGTATACTATGAAACTTATTAAATAGCCAATTCCAGGGTCTTGCAAAGTATAATTAAAATCTACTTAATTATAATAAATAAACAACAATTCATAATTATTTATTTTAAAATGTAATTCTTAATTTTATAATAGAATTAATCCAGTGTCACTATACTGTACACAAACTGGGCTCAGTTATGCTTTGTGAAGTCTCTCCCAATAACAATAGAGTGAAGCAATATTTGTTGAAAAATATATTTTATATTGAATTGTTTCTGTTAAAAAAAGGTGTATGGTGAAATTAAATTTGTATGGTTTCCAAATTTTCCTTTCAGATCTGAAATTCTTTTGAAGACATTCTACAACTAGTACCATCTTCCAGGTGGAGAAGAAAGTACATACAATACACATTCAAGATAATTGATTGATTGCTTAAAAAACTAAAAATGTCTGGAAAAAGTGTGTTATCATCTATTATAATACTAGCTACCACTCTGCAAGTAATGTCATACAGTGTAAAACTTTCTCCAGAATACATTACTGTCGATGTTGGTACTGATGCAGTTACATTTACCTGTACAATAAAATTGGGGTTATTTGAAACAACGAGTGAAAATACGATGATAATATGGTGGAAAGACAATGACATGGTATTAGGTAATTCTTCAAAGTACAGTGTTAATGGAGTATCATCTTCAGAGAATAACTACACGCAAAGTTTACAAGTTAATGACATTGAAGAAACTGACCATGGCATATACACATGTACTTTACTTTTTCCTAAATATCCACCTGACAATATAAAACTGTCTACACTTATTATAAGGAACCTTATTCCTCAACCTATCTGCTCAACCACTTCAGGTGAACCTGGACAACAGATAGTCTGTACAAGTTCACCAAGTGATCCTCAAATAACCTTGACCTGGATTGATAATACTGGTGGTGTTTTGACATCCCAATCTCAGTTAACATTTAATGAAACGTTATCATTGTCATACACAATATCCATTGAATCAAGCAATCAGTGGTTCACATGTAGAGCCACCAGTACAAGATCAGCAGACACAAAGGAATGTGTCATTGGCTATCAGACTTCAATGACATCAAGTAGAGCAGTGACAAGCTTTCATCCCAGGCAGAAATTGACCTCTTCTGGCATTTCACAATCTAAAGGAACTCATGGTATTCCTACAACCATCAGCATTTCTGGCCAGAACAATAATACAGTTATTGCTATATGGTCCATCATTGGAGCTGTAGGTATATTGGTTAGTGTGGTATTATCCTGTTACATATTCACTACTTCTAGACAAAACAACAGAAATGGAAATGTCGATAGAGATAGAAATAGAAATGAAAATGAATATCAAGTTATAAATGGTGATATGGATGTAGTTGCAAACAGTCCAAATCATTATCAGCTCCTGAATATGAAATTTTAAATAAGATTTGTATTTTAAGATTAATTTTGTTTAAAGTCTACTTCATTCTTTCTTAGGGTTCTAGTATTATGAATGATAAAATAATTAATAACAATAAAATACACATTACAGAGATAACAAAATTTTTTTTGTACTAAACATCATAAAATTTGGTATAATATTTTTGAATCTTGTAAATATACCTAATGTCAAATTATAAGGAGCAATTTACACAATGAGAGGATTAGTAGGTAGGCCAAAACTTTGTCCTGAATCGCTTAGAAGGGGACCAAGGAGCAAACCCCCCCACCCCCGGAAACAATTTAGAGTCGTAAACAAAGAATAAAAAATATACTACTTCCAATAAAGTTTTATATTCACACAGCAACAGACCTGTATCTTAGAACTTACTAATTGGTAGGCAAATGCTGCCTTTTTGGGGTTAACAACTGGTAGCATCTCCTGGCTGCATCAGACTTGTTTTCCAAGGTGGTTTCAAAAAGGAGATGGCAAGATGGAGTTTCTGCTGGCCGACAGTGCTCATAGATGACTAAATCGTAGTAGTTTTCCATCTTAATACCTGTAAACAGACAAACATTATAATATATGTCTGATTATTTTTTTTTATTTTCCAAACTTTTATAAAGAATAATATGATTAAAGTTTGTATTGTATCTTCTAATCTAATCTAATCATTCATATAGTGTCTTTCTTTACAGATATGAATCGCTGTAAGTTTTTCCCTAGTCATTAGGTCCACATGCTTGTGTTATGTTGCTGCCATAGTGGTGCAAGGCAACCCCACCACATACCCATTTATACTCCTGGTGGAGAAAAGCAATGTAAAAAGTGCCTTGCTCAAGGACAAGTGAAATGCACAGTAAGGTATTGAACGTCTCGAGGTTGAGAAACGAAACCGTTTCCCGCTGTGCCAATTAAACTGCTTCCACATTTGAAGCAAAATTTAAAAAAAAAACAAAATAAACATTATCCTATTACAGAATAGCCTACGTATACATAGCCAAGCAGAGTTTAGATCCAGAATACAAATAGCAAACTATGCATTTAATACCAATAGAAGACAAAATGGAGATGGAAATGGAAATGAACTTCGAAATGTAGAAGATAATGTTTTATGAGTACCCAGTTGGAGAAGATAAATATATGCATTCAAATGCACACATTCCATATCTGTACTCCTCAATATATAATGTATACATTTACAATTTGTGTGAAATCTACTTCATTCTTAGAGTTTTAAAATGTTTATAGAATAATTTAAAAGCATACATTCCACAGTGATGTGAAAAGTCTTTTGTACACAACGTCATAATATTTAGTATAATACTGTATTTTTGAATCATATTCATATCTAATACATAAAATTATAAGGAGCAATTTGCACAAAGATAGCATTGGTGAGTGGAGGCTAGAGTAGATTGTTGGATCAAAACTTTAAAAAAATATTTGCCTGATCCAAGTAATGTTATTTAAATTGCTAATACTTAATATTGTGGTCTAAAAGCACTATTTGGACCATACTAAGCCATACAAATTCTTCCTATCAGACCCCTTGTTGGCAATTTTCTGGCCCCACCACTATTCTAGTAGCAATGTCAATTCAATGATCTCAGTTGCCATATTAGATTCATCAAATAGGAATATGTCGGGCTTAAGGTTTGCACATAATATTTTAGGGGGAATTGATCCACCAGCTATTAAAAGGCCAGGAAGGTCTGCATATGCCTTCACTGACATTCCCACTGACCTTTTTTGTATTCTATCTAATTTGAAGCAAAATGAATAAAATCAAATTAATATTAAACTAATACGCAATAGCCTACACATTTGGGTAGTCTAGGTGATATATTAGAAAATAGGAAGGGCCCGCATACGAAGGGCCATGGCTATGCTCTTTATTAAAAGAAGCACCTCTTAACAAAATAAATTAACACGAAAATGTAAAAGCAGTAATGTGGATTGTGGCATAACACAACGCAGACATGAATTTGGCATGTTAAGGGGATAGAGTTGATAAAAAGAAGTTATAGAAGGACAAAAAGAAAAAGACCATGAGGATGGAAAAGGTGATCTCTTAAGAGTGGGTAATATCATAAATGTTAAATATTATAAGTGCGACAGAATAAATCATCAATTGGAAAGCCACCTTGCAAAATTCAAATCCATTATTTTGTGTGTTTGTGTATCTATCTCGTTTAGATAGACCCATATACTTTTTAAGGATACATAACTTTCAGTCCGAAGAGCATTCCATTTTTAACACTGTTTTATAAATTGCACTATTATATTTTAAATTTATTACTTATTATATTTACTATTATATACACCACAAGAAACATGAACTCAGCCATTTGTATAGTTTATTCTATCAGATTTGTAATGATATATTGTTCATTTGTCTGTCCTCGGTTCAATTTTCATTGTTGTTGCTGGTGCTATAGGAGTGGAATTATTATTTCCATATATGTACTTGAATGTTTGAATGTTATGTATGCACACCCACATATGTCAAGTTATGAGACTTAAGCCAATAACAAAACATATTTATAGGAAAGTAAGGTATAAATCTATTGGGATATTATTTGACATGGTTGGATTGAATCATACAAGTGGCTCTTTTTTACCCCAGATCTATCTTCAAACATTGACAAATGCCATTTATAAATTGATGATTAATAGTGTCTCACAATAAAATAGCCTTGAGGCGCACTTCAAATCAGTGCAAGAAAATAAAAAAAAAGACCCTCTTCACTTCCTCATTAGAACTACAGTAAATTAGTGTGTAGCAAATGTTAAAGGTAAGTTAATTTCATATACTGTATTTATTTTATAAAGAATAGCTTTACAGCTAACACAGTCATGAGATTAAGTTGAATTGTCACTAATGAATTTAATATGTAGCAAAATGTCCATTATTTTTTCACTAAATAACTGTTTCTAATGGTGCTTATACAAGTTCATATATTTTTGGCATTGTTCTTTTACCTTATTCCAAATTTAATAATCATTTTACTAATTCAAATTTTAAACCATATCCTATTAAAAACCCGCAACTCACAAGTCTCCTGGAAATCAAGACGTCCTCCCACAAGCAAGCAAGAAAGAATCCCAGAAGATAACCCCAGTCCCGCAAATATATAATACAGTAGGTCATTCCATAATTTACATGCCCTGCAAACATATGTTCTTTTTCCTTGTATGTTCCAGTTTGGGATGATTAGTGTATTAGAAGAATGATTTAGTGTATTTTTTAAATGGACATAGTATAGTAAATTAACATTTTTAAGAAATATATTCCGAAGCCATATATTTTAGAGATTTAAATGTCATAATTAAAATGTTTATCCCATTTATCTTTAACCATTTTCCAATCCATTGCATCCATCAAATCCTTTACTGTTGAGAAGTTAAATTAGACGTATCATGAGCCTGATCCATTATGCCTTCATTACCAACATTAACATTCTCTCTCCATCCTCTTGATTGGCTATGACACCTAACATGAATCATTGAACATTAGACTGTAAAGATTACACCTACAGAATATACCAAGGTAAAAGCTACCACTTTTTCTATAATACCGGTATATGAAAGTGTATTTACTCAAGTTATAGAAGTAGCTGACTGTATAGTTTACAAAATGTAGGAACATATATATTGTAGGGGTGTTGGAGTCACCCTGAGAGTGGTATAGAAGCAAGACAGCTCCTATACCTCAGAAGAGAAAGCCCTAAAAGAGCTAGTCTTCCCTTTCCCTTCCTAGTTGGAGAAGCTTCATGTTGTAAATCCAATACAAACACGAGTTCAAACACGAGATCAAATGCAAATATGGATTTTTCAACTACAGGCATACTTTCATAAGTAATAATATTTTAAACATAGTGCTTTGCCAACAAAGCCTCTATGCACCTCACATTGCTGCTGCTGCCACTACTACTGCTGCTGCTGTTGTTCTTATTACAGTATTGTTTTATTATAGATCTAGCACGTTATGTATCATGTCTCAGCTCTCTGTGCAGAATCCATACTTTTGCTGAATGATCAGCACATTGTGTGTTTGAACCTACTAGGCACCCATTGTATTAATTATTGTACCCCACAGTGATATAGAAGCAAAACAGCTCCTATACTATACGTCTGGAGAGAAAGCCCTGAAAGAGCTAGTCTCCCCTTTCTCTTACTAGTTGGAAAAGCTTTGTTTTAAATCCAATATCACGAGTTCAAACACAAGATCAAATGCAAATATAGAGTTTTCAACAGGGCCGGCAGAACGTTTTTCAAAGTGGGGGAGGGGGGCCACTTATAAGATGATTGGGAATATGAATCATGCAGATCTGGAATCAAATCGAGGGGGTCCGGGGTCCTCCCCCTGGAAAATTTTGATTTCTAGATGGCGGGAAATGACTTTTCGCGACTTTTGAGCTAGGTGTGTTGTTCTTCAAAATCCAAGGTTTTCCCCCTCTTGAAAACGGTCAGGTAAACTTTCTCATTGTTATTACAGTAAATAGGCCTGATATGTGTGTAAACATACATAAAAAAAAAAATGAGTAGTTGCATAGGCCTACGTATTCTTTTTTTTAATGAATCGATAAGCTCCAAAGAAAAGGGGGGTCCGGTTTCCCCCTGGGAAAATTTTGATTCCTAGATGGTGGGAAATGAGCTTTTCCGACTTCTGAGGTGTCTTAATTACTTTTAAGTTCTTCAAAATTCAAGGTTTTCCTCTCTTGAAAACGGTCAGGTAATTTTTTACTATTGCTTTTACAGTAAATAGGCCTTATGTGTGTATACATACATAAAAAATAAAAAAATGAGTAGTTGCATAGATTTTTTTTCCATGAATCAATAAATCCCAAAAAGAAAGGGGGTTCTCTCCCGGGAAAATTTTGATTCCTAGAAGGCGGAAATTAGTTTTCCTGACTTTTGAGGTGTCTTTTAATTATTTTTAATTTTTTCAAAATTCAAGGTTTTCCCCTCTTGGAAATTATTATAATGAATCAATGAACCCAAAGAGAAAAGAGAGGTTCAGGTTCTCCCCTGGAAAATGTTGATTTTTAAATGGTGGGAAATAAGCTTTCCCGACTTCTGAAGTACCTTTTAGCGACTTCAATTTAAGTTCTTCAAAATTAAAGGTTTTCCCCTCTTGAAAACGGTCAGGTAATTTTTTCCTATTGTTTTTACAATAATATGTCTTATGTGTGTGTACATACATAAAAATAAAAAGAAATATGAGTAGTTGCATAAGAATTTTTTTTCCATCAATCGATAAATCCCAACAAGAAAGGAGGGTCCGGGAAAATTTTTGATTCCTAGAAGGCGGAAATTAGTTTTCCCGACTTCTGAGGTGTCTTTTTTAATTACCTTCAAGTTCTTCAAAATTCAAGGCTTTCCCCCTCTTGAAAATTATTTAATGAATCAATGAACACCAAAGAAAAAGGGGGTCCGGGTCCCCCAGGAAAATTTCGATTTCTAGATGGCGGGAAATGAGCTTTCCTGACTTCTGAAATGTCATTTATAAATGACTTTTTAATTTCTTCAAAATTCAAGGTTTTCCCCACTTGAAAACGGTCAGGTAAATTTTTCTCATTTTTTATTTTATGTTTGTATACACATAAATAAATGAGTAGTTGCATGCGTATTCTTTTTCCCATGAATCGATAAATCCCAACAAGAAAGGGTGGTCCGGGGGTTCTCCCCCTGGAAAATTGTGATTTTCCAGGGGGATGAACTTTTTCGACATTTGAATTGTGTTTTAATGACTTTCATGTTCTTTAAAAAAAAAAAAAAAAGCTCACGTCTCACTGGTCCTGAAAAGGTAGGTCTAAAATTTTTCCCCCTTTTTTTGGCCCAAGGGAGGGGTCAGGACCGATGACCTCCTCCCCAAGATCCGCCAATGTGAATTGCGAGAATATGTAACTCGGTCGGGTACTGGATGAACATTTTTTTTCCCATCCTTCTCCTCCTTCTTCCCTCTTTCTTTTCTTGCATTTCTTTCCGATCATACAAAAATCTCCAGACATTATATATTTTTGCCAAAACGTGGGGAGGGGGCCCGGGCCATGTACAACTAATAGGTACAGGTGTACTTTCATAAATAGTAATATTTTAAACATAGTGCTTTAAATGCCAACAAGACCTCTATGCCCTTCATACTGCTGCTGCTGTTCTTATTATTGTTATTGTTGTTATTATAGATCAAGTACATATATGTATCATGTCTCAGCTCCCTGTGCAGATTCAATACTTTCGCAGAATAATCAGCACATTGTGTGTTTGAACCTGCTAGGCACCCATTGAACTTAATTAAAGTGCCTTACCTAAAGACACAAGCAAAATGCAAAGTGAGGGATTCAACCTCCAACCACAAGGTTGAAAAGCAGAACAGCAACAGCCACAATACTTGATAACACTACTAATCTTCTCCCCCACTACAGTGCCCCTAACAAAGATTTTGAATTGCTAAGTTACTGCTGAATCAACAATTGGCAGACACCTACCCCCACTTTCATTAAAAATGGTTCCCATTTTCAATGGCATTCAGTACATACAGAGTGTATAAAATGAGTAGAAGAATAAGAATGTATGTAGTTACTCCATTTTTGGAATGTCTGCACTCACCGCCAAAACTTTGATTTCAGAGTTTCTATAGTATAATACACAAAAAAACTCAGAAACCGCGCAAATACTCCAATTTCTGAGGTTTTGTGTCATAAACTTACTATCAAGTTATTAAACAAGTTCTAGCCCTACCCCATTTAAAAGATTGTTTTTATTTTATTTTTTTTTGTGTTGTGTTTGTGTACATTTTAATTTTATAATATTAATTCTAAATGTTTTTAATTCTAGTACTGCAAAAAACCTTGTTACAGTATTTGTAAAATAATGATAATGATGAGTTAAGGATAATTGCAACATTTACCTGAATATAAATTAATAAAATTGATACTGTATTAAAGTACCAATAACGAATATGTGCAATGTATTACTGCATTATAATATATAAACATAATTTAAACACTAGTAACTAAAATGATAATAATGATAATTTAATAATGTGACCTTTTTTGTATTTTCTATATTTATGATAATAATTTGACTTAATTCTGTTTTTAATTACTTGAATTTGTCATGGATTTTATCTTTAACATTTTACTGTTTTGTGTCTACCTGAGGTTTTGATATTGTGAATAAGTTTTAAGGTTTTGACATTGTGAACAAATTTTGTGATGTAAACCATTTCAGCTCCTGCTGATGTTTGTAATTGTTTTATATTTTTATGCATCAATAAATAAATTTTAAACAAGAGCATCAATGATGCAATAGTCCACTTGACAATAGCTGGCAATGTTTAAGTGCTTTTAATAAGTGGAAGTTGTGTGGAGTGTTGTTACAGTACATGTATTGAGCATTAAAAAAAACGTTTAAAGTTATAGTAGTTGTATGCATCATCATAGGCTTTTTTTGTTATGTTCACGTAACAGTTAGAAAAGGTGTGATGTCGTGTACCGTGATATTAAAGGAAATATGGTTGTTGTAGGGGTTGTTGTGTACGTATGTTTTTGAAATATTTTGTACTGTAATTATGAAGATATATATGTAGCGGTTTATGATTTAAGTAGACAGTTTGGTGAGTGAATGGAATTTGTTGCATAGAAGTATTTCATTGTGGTCCTCTAATGTATAATTACGTATATCATTTGTCTTTGTTTGTTAGTTAAACATGCAGCTTTGTTTGAGAAAGGCTAAATAACTTCTTGGCTGACGTCAGATCTTGATGTATGTATATGTTTATATGTATATATATATACATATACATATACATATACATACATGCATACATATACATACGTATATAATATACATACATTATATACGTACATACATATACATATATACATACATACATATATACATACATACATATACAGTATATATACATATACATATATATACATACAAATATATATATATATATATATATACATATATATATATATACATATACACATATACATACATATGCATACACTCTTAAAATTCAAGTGTTAAAATCCAACACTTTATGGGTGTCATAAGTTTTTTAACACCCAGGGTGTTGGAAATTGTGTTGAAGTGTTGCAAGGTGTTGCATTCATAACACTTTGATAAGGT